TCTGTTTCACCTCAAGGTGTTTCTAACAGCAAATGTCTTGAGAAGCAGTGAGCTCCCCAGCACTGGGGCTGAGCAAGAAGAGGACAGGGAGGGATGCTGGGCAGGTTACTCCAGGCCCTTACAGCCCAAGTGGATTCCTGCACACCAGTGCCCAGTGTACCAGCAGAGACCCTCTTGGTCTGTGCAGCCCAGAAGGAGGTGCTGGGTCAGGAGCGAAGATGGCACCTATGTTTGTTTGTTTGTTTGTTTGTCTGTTTGAGATAGAGTCTCACTCTATCTCAGGCTAGAGTGCAGTGACACAATCTTGGCTCACTGCAACCTCCACCTCCTGGGTTCAAGCGATTCTCCTGCCTCGGCCTCCCGAATAGCTGGGATTATAGGCGGGTGCCACCGTGCCCGGCTAACTTTTGTATTTTTAGCAGAGATGGGGTTTTGCCATGTTGGCCAGGCTGGTCTCGAACTCCTGACCTCAAGTGATCTGCCCGCCTCAGCCTCCCACAGTGCTGGAATTACAGGCGTGAGTCACTGCACCTGGCTGAGATGGCACCTATGTAACCTTTGTCCAGCATCAAGGCCTGGGTGCCTCCTCCCACACCCATGTGTGTCCATGGCAGGGTCGGGGTGGGAGAGTCCTCAGTGAGGCCAGTTGAAGGGGAGAGGGGATGGTTAAGGAAGGCTTCGAGAAATCGGGGTTTCAGCTGGCCTTGAAGGGGCAAACGGAAGGGTGAGGGGACCAGTGGGCCTGAGTCCCTGCGTCATGTGACCTGGCCTCCTGTGGGCCTCACACACCTCTCCCTGGGCCTGGCTTGGTGGGGTGAGCCCACCAGGTGAGCTCTATCTGGGGAGGGGCCCGAGCCAGGTGACAGCAAGAATAAGGAACAAGCAGGCTGTTCTGCCATGCAGTGACAGCCAGACAGACCTCAAGAGGCCGAGGCCGAGCTGGAAGGGCACTCCTCTCCCAGCCGCCCCCCTCAGCTCAGTGCTTGCCAGGTTCCTGCCGTCTTGACAGTTTTTCTCTCCCCACTCCCAGGGAGACTCTGCCATTCTACATGGAGTCAAAATACCTGAGGAGACCCTGTCTCCTGAGGTGGGAGCAGTGCATCTCCTTTCCTGAGGGGCCATTACTGCTGGACAGTGCCATGAAGCTGCACTGATAGGGCACTGACAGGTCAGCCAGGAAGTGGTGAGGGCTGCCCTGGTCCCTGCGCGTCGTGGCTGTCTTCTCTCTTCTCTCTCTCTCTCTTCTCCTTTGGGTTAAAGCCTTCTCTGCTTTTTGGGGGGCAAATATCTGAAGCCCCTCCCCAGAGATCTAATCTCAGAGTCCTCCCAGCATGTGAGGACTGGCCCAGGTGTCCTCACTCTGAGGGCAGGCTTGGGGACATCCACTAGCCCCCCAGAACCTGAACTCCAGGCCAAAGGTTCACCAGCATGGTGGAGCACTGTGTTTGGGAGTCTCCTTGTATGCTCCCCACCTCCCCACACTTTATGATGTGTGGGCTTTTTGGAAAAGCCACCCTTACTCTCTCCTTCCATCCAATTCTGTGTTCAGGGCCATAGCTCCCCCTTGACATCTGCTGAAGGTACAGATCTCCCCAGAAAACTGCGCACACCCGGCATTTGGCCCTGGCCTAGGGCTTAGAGACGTGAGCTCCAGCACTGTGTCTGCCTTGAACTTGCCTGTGGTCTCAGACAGCCTTCAGTTTTCTGACCTGAGAAATGGGGGCTTTTGTCTCTACCTCATAGGGGCCTCCTGACAGCCTGGAATTGATTGACCTTGTCTGCCCCGTCCCCAGCTCACTCCTGGGAGTACCTAGGAAGGAGAGGGGGTGGGGCTGCAATAAGGATGGCATCTTGGGAGGCACTCACCGGCAGGGGATGCAGCAGAATGGCGGCCCTGGATGACAGGCATGTGCCCGTACTCCTCTCAGCCCTCCTGGTCCAGCTCCAGAGGGAGAGTGGCAGAGCTGCAGCACCTACCCTGTCAGCAGAGTTAAATCCCAGCCAGACTTGCAGAGGGAAGGCGAGAGAGGGCTACAGCCACACCCACTCCACCCTACTGCCTGGGCTGGTGAGTGGCCCAAGGGCTCCAGGGTACTGGGACAGGACCCTCCTGGATGCACAGCATGGCTCCAAGAAGCCCTCCCTCTCTACTGCATCAGAAAACCTCCTTGCTACCAGGGGCCCTGAGGCAAGGATCACATCAGAGCCAAAAGCAGGGGACACCTCCTTGGAGGACCTCTGCTAATGGGTGGGGACCCACCAAGATCTGGAGGGGTGGGTGCCAACACCCTGTAGCTCCCCCGGTGCCTCCCTGGCAGCAGTAGCTCATCAACTCTCCATGTCAGTGTGGGAGCCAAGCAGGAGGGCATTCCCATCTTACTCGTGAGGAAACTGAGGTGAAGTCTCACTTGCCCACAGTCACACAGCAGTGAGCAGGATTGGCCCTGGAATCCAGAGCCCTGGTACTTGGACAAAGTCTCTTTCCCTTTCTCACTGGTGTTGCCCCCACAGGGAAGCAGGTGGGTCTGGAGGCATCCCGAGGGCTCACTGGTCAGGGGAGGAGGAGAGGCACCACCCTCTCGCTTCTTCCTGGTCCATCCCAGTGTCCAGGACCTCTGGGATGCCACAGCCAAGGCAGGGGACGGGGGCTGCAGGGCCATGGGGCCTCCCTCCATCTCCCACTCACACCATCAGCCTATAGCTCCACCCTATGATCTCTGCTCAAGGCGGTCTCTCTGCCAAGAATCCTCTTCTCCCCTCCCTGCCTGGAAGGAGGCCCTCTCCTATGTGAAGGCTCCCTGGTGCCCCTAGGTTCTGCCTCACTGGGCACTGCGTGCTCCCCGTTCCCTGTGGTTGTGCGCTCCCTGAGGGCAGGAGCTACGATGCTCCTGCGTGTGCCCTAGCACAGTGCCTGGCCTTCAGGAGACTGAATTCCGGAACCTGCAATTGTAAGGGAGTGGATGACTGGTAGAGAGCGAATGGTGTGAGAGTGAGAGGGCCGGGAGTGGGGGATGGTGGGAGTGTGAGGCTGAAGGCTGAGAAGGGGCAGCAGTGGGTACACGAGCCCAGATAGGAGCAGGGGCTAAGCAGGGAGAGCAGGCTGGCACTGCCCACCCCACTGCAGGGCCCTCCCCTAGTCGGATGTGGTCCCATTCCCATACAACAGGCTTGGCCAAGGGCTCAACCCCACAGGCTTCCACGATGGGCTCAGCGCCCTCATGGTCGCTGTGGTCCTGACCGGGTGGTGGCTGCCCTTTCCACATTTGGCGAGGGGAAGGATGACGCCCAAGGACATCCCCCAGGCCCAAACTAGCCGTGGCTGGCCAGCCAGCAGGCCGCATGCAGAGCCGCAGAATAGAAAAACCTTGTTTTATTCAGCCCAGACCTGGGCAATCTAGCTCTGTGGTATGGCCAAAGTATAAAAAATAAAAACCAACAACAACAAAACAACGCTGTAGAGAAAAGTGAAGTATAAATTGGGGTCTGGCATCCGGAATCCCTGTGGTTTCCATCCACGTTCGCTCCCTGAGGCCGGCAGGGAGGGATGCCCCTGCCGGTGGGTTGGGGGACTGGGCCCCTCGGCGGGAGGCTGCCAGGGGAGCAGGGCCTGCTTTAGAAGGGGAGAGATTGGCCATCTGTCCCTCCCAGAGATCAGGATCTGAGGAAGGAAAGACAGTGGGTCAATGAGGGGTTGCACAGTAGGGCCCCCGTGGCCCCCTCAGCCAGGGCTTCCCTCCCGCAGCCCAGATCCCTCGTGGCAGGGCAGGCATGGGCCTCCATTTCCCTCAAGAGAAAGTGCCGACCCCCTCAGCCCAGCTCCAGAAGGAGGGGTTCGATGGACTCCCACCCACCCAGGGCACAGTCTCAGCACATTCCCCTCCCCATGCCCTAGTCCCAGATTGTTTTCTAGGCCATTAGCAGAGCTGCTACTGTCTGGAAATACTTTCTTGTTTTTTCTAACTCAGAACCTTTTTTTAAAGCCTCCTTTTTCCTCTAGAAATACGATGGAAACCCACAGGCGTCAGTCCCGTGGCCTTTCTGGGAACGCTCTGTCCAGCTTCCTGTGCACGCTGGCCCAGCCGCCTGCCTGTGGTCAGGGTCACAGAGACTGAGACACTCTAATAAGACCCAGCCTTTCCAAGCACTTATGTAAAGAGCCCTTGGAAGGAAGGGCTTTGGCACCCCCTGCTGCCCACAGGCCCCCGGGAGCTGGGAGGGCAGCGCAGGCTGCTTCTCCATCTGCCTTGCCGAGAGCCCCGCTGGCTGCTCCAGGCACCTGGGACGTGGGACGCTGTTTCTGTTCCCATCCCCCTTTCCCAGCAACAGGCGGGACTCCCTGCCTCCCTGAGCCCCCAGCAGCCTCCTTTGTTTCCCGGATACCCCATTCTTCCTTCCTCCTCCCTCCCTAGAATGGCTTCTACCACTTAGGTGACCCCTGGGTCTTGAATAGCTAAGACAGGCCCTGAGGAGCGGGAATGTGCTGCGAACCCAGGCCTACTAAAGAGCCAAACTGCCAGTGATGGGATAGGAGTTCGTCCTTTCAAACACGCTGTGTGCCCTGGGGAATTCTGATCTCATTCTACTCCTGAGAAACCTAATCTCTGCACTGAACTAGAGGCTGCTGTTCCCATTTTTAATATTCATGATGTGGTGGCAGCATGCTGTGAACAGTTAGGTTGGTGGTAGCAGCCAAATGTGAGAGGGCTGTCTCTAAATGAGCCTGGCCCTGGTCACAGACTGAGCCTTGACCCTGGCCACACACTGAGCCCTGATCCTGGTCACACACTGAGCCCTGGCCCTGGTCACAGATTGAGCCCTGAGTCTGGCTACACACTGGGCCCTGACTCTGGCCACACACTGAGCCCTGATCCTGGTCACACACTGAGCCCTAATCCTGGTTACACACTGAGCCCTGGCCCTGGTCACAGATTGAGCCCTGAGTCTGGCTACACACTGAGCCCTGACCCTGGTCACACACTGAGCCCTGATCCTGGTCACACACTGAGCCCTAACCCTTGTCACAGACTGAGCCCTGACCCTGGCCATACACCACACCCTGACCACAGTCATAGGCTTAATCTCTCATACCTGCCATCCATTAATAAGCATACACTTTTAGGGAAAGATACCTCTCTGGGCCTTGAGATCTCTACTACCTTTCTCCCAGTTGATGAAGTAAAGCCGAAAGCTCTAGGACTTTTTTTTTTTTTTTTTTTTTTAGTGGAAAAGGATTCCTTTGATCTGGAGTGTGGTAGGGTTTCCTTGTGAGCTTGTAAGGAAGGGGGTCCCTCTGCAAAGTACTTCACGTGGGGATCAGGAGAAAGACTGAGGACCCTACCCAGCAGCCATGTGCTAAAATCCCAAGCCCAGGTTTTAGGGACTTCTTCTACAACAGGGGCCTAGGGACTGAAGATGGCCCCTTTTAACCAGAATCACTTCTAATCTGTGACTGTTTAATCCAGTCCACTTGATAAGGACACTAATGATCACAGCTGCTGTTCACTGTGTGCCACTGTGTGCTGGGCTGTTGAACATGCAGACATCAGGCCTATAGATCCTCAGCCCCAGCCTATGTGGAAATACCTATTTTATAGTTGATGAAAGTAGCTCAGGGAAGTACAGTAGTTACCCAATGTCACAGAGGGAGGAAGCTGTGGAACTGGGACTGCAGAGCTCGTGGCCTTGCACCAAATGACTCTGCCTTCTGCTGGTTTTCACTTGGGACATCTCAGGGAGCCACAGGATGCAGCCCCAGATCAACACCCTACAGCCTGAGCCCCACCGTAAACACTCAGCTTGGGGTTGGCACGGACAAGGCTCTTTTTGCTGGGCCCGGCTGCAGCTGCATTCGGCCATCAAGATGACCTAAAGTGCAAGTATCTTAGGTATTTCAGGTGGCCTTGCCTGCTCCCCAGGCAGGAAAGGGACAGGGCTAGGAAGGATGGGGGGCAAGCACTTACTGGACAATTTTGCAGTTTGTTGTCGAAACGTAGCGACCTGTGTAGTGAATGTTGCATCTCACCACGTTGTTGGTGAAGTCAGACTCTAAAACAATATACTTTGGGTTCACGTGCACCTGAGGAAGAAGAGAAACAGGGAGAAAGGGAGTCTAGTCGGGGGGCTGCACCTCAACCGCTCACCAGAGAAGGTGGTAAGGAGGCAGACAGACAGACAGAGAGGGGACATAGACAGGAGACAGAGGAAGACCATGTGAGGCCAAGAGACATGGAGACAGAGACACACTGCTAGAGAGACACGGAGGGGAAAGAAGAGGCAGCTGGTAACCCAAGCAAACATCATCTGATCCCCCTTATCAGAAGATTGGATGTTTCCCTAGAGCGAGAGACTGTGCCAGGTGGGCCCTGCATGGGGCATTTGGGGTTGGAGAGGTTGGATCCTGCCCCTGGGAATGCAGTAATGAGGAGCTGAGCAGGGACTCGACACCTGGCCTCCCCAACGCCAAGGCTCAAAGTTGTTCCCTGTGCATTCCTGTCTATGCTTTTTGTCTGAAAAGGAGCTGTTGGGATACAACACTTTTAAATGTTGGATTAACTAGGGAAGGGCCAGCTTTATTCACAGAACATCTAAGAACAGATGCAGGGATGTGACTTTCAAATCCTGGTATGCTCCCAAAGCGCAGGGACTGTGAACTGTATTGCTTATGTGGTTTGTGTGTCCAGTGCCTAGAACTCAGAGGGGATTTCCTACGTGTTTGACTGAGTGGATGAATGAGGAAAAGAAAAAATATACTGGACAAACCCAGGCCCTGGAGGAGCAAGCTTGGAGCCTGCTGAGGGGCACTCAGGAGGGAACCGCAGAGAACCACTGCTGGACGCATCTCTCCACCAGCTGACTTTCTGCAGGAAGGCCTCCGCCTGCAAACCTGGCTTCACTGCTCTTCCCTTACTGAGCTGCTTTTCTGCTTCTGAGTGGGTCCAGATGAACTGGTGGAATGATCCCTCCTCATTTTATACCTGTGTGGAGGAGGCTGAGACATGGCTTCCCCAGGTGGGCCCATGACAACCTGGCCTACACGTATGTACCAAGTCTGGCTGTGTGTTGTTAATATGCTTTTCTACCTTTCTCCCAACCAAGGGAAGAGGCGATGGGGTGAGTGTCCATTAGAGCAGAAGGGGTTCAGGCTAAAAGGGTCTTGGTCACAGGTGCCCTTGGCCTTGCAGGGGTCCCTGTAAGGAGCCAAAGGCCTCTCATCTGTCTCCCAAATGATACAAAGTCTGCCCTGTCCGAAGACAGGAAGATAGACCACATGGTTCTCCAAGTCTTCCTTGCTCTCTCTGGTCCTCAGTCACTTAGGGAGACAGTATCACCACTGCCTCTAGCATTACCACAGCTGGGGCAAAGGTTCCTTGGGTTCTTTATGGAGAGAGAGGCTATGCCAGCCTGAGACCTAAATCTTCGGCTGGGAAGCCTGAACCTTGAGGGATGCCTCGGATGCTGCCTCTGCTCAGCAGCTGGGGAGAAGGGAAGAGGCCCAGAGGCTGAAGCTTCTTTCAGGAATGATGAACATCCGGTTGGAGAGAAAGCCCCAGACTCAGAGGCCCACCTTGAGGATGTAGTTCCCAGGCTGCACATCGGTTATGTCAATCCACTGGCAGTCGATATCTGCGTTGTAGGTGTCATAGCAGCCTGGGCTCAGGCCCTGGGAAAGGGACAAGAGGAGCGGCTGATGCTGCTGGTTCCCCAGAGCCACCCCATGCCCACTTTCAGGAGTTTCAGTTCCATCTTCCCCTGGGTTTCTCCCCTGACCCTGGCCCAGGGCAACTGCTCAGGGTGGGTCCACCCCTTCCTAAAGTCACTGGCTAGACGGACCAGAGGAAAGACAGAGATCTCTAATAGCCAGGTGGGAGGGATGAGATGGATGTGCTGGTATGCGTGGGCAAGATGGATGGCAGAATGGATAAAGAGAGACGGGACAGACAGACAGTTTGTGGATGTTTAGGTTGGCTGATGGAAAGAGGGATATGGGTGGGTGAACAGGCTAATGGGACGTGTTGCTCTCCAGACTGTTGCAATGTTTCCTTCTCTCCATGAGCAGATTGCCTGGGAATAACATGGGAAGGGGCTTGGGCAGGGAGAGAACAGTCCCTGCAGGGCACTGTGGCAGCCTGAGGACTGGTGAGAAGACCTTCACTGTGAGCAGAGCTGAGTGGCCAGAAGCCTTGGCACTAGCCAGGCCTCAGCCGGCCTCAGCAGGCCTTGCTCTGTCTCCCCACTCCTCATCCGCCTGTGCCCTGAACCCCATCTCTCCAGCCCAACCTGGGTATGAGAGGTGCATGCATAGCGCTTGAGGTTGCCGAAGTCACAGGTGCTGTCCTCCAGGCAGAAACTGGCCTTGTGGCCCTCAGCCACCTTCTTGCCTGTGGCTGCATCCAGTAGGTCGTAGTGGCTGAACTCGTCCATGCTGTGGTAATGTCTAGAGGCAGAGGAGAGGAGAGAGAAAGAGAGAGAAGAGGGCCTAGTGTTCCCTGGGCCTCTCATCCTGTCCTCATCCTGAGATGGGCTCAGGTGACCCCGCTGTGGCACAGCCTCCTGGCCAATCTAGGCTCTCCTGTCCCCTGAGTCCTGCGGGGTGGCCCCTCTGTGCTCCCCACCTAGGTGGGTCGCTCCAGGACAGCACATGCTCTGGACCCCTCACTTCCTTTTTGGGCTCCCACCTGTAATGACCTCACTGGGCAATGCCCCGTATTCTAGACATTTCCATCCCTTATTGAGACCAATCCTTCCATCTTCCAGCCTACCTTTGGCTAAGACTTCTCTGAGAAACACTTGCCCCAGTGGCAAGAGTTGGCAGATAACACCTCCTGGGGCCCTCTAATCCAGTATCTGTGTCTCTCAGAGTGCTCGTGGCGGGAGGGGGAGCTCAGGCACCAAGGTCCCTGGTCCAGAGGAGAAGTGGAAGAGGACAGGCCCAGCCCCTCCCTACTCACTGGTGGCAGCTGTGCCACTCCCAGGTGTGCCGTGGCCGGTTGGGGAGGAAGTCCGCTGTGCCCTGGTTCTTCACACGCTGGGGGAAGCGCAGCAGCACCCGCACATCGTAGTCGGTGGCCTCAGGGGCATAGGCTGTGCTGCAGGGACGACAGAGGAGATAAGGGGGGGGGTTGGGGCATAGTGACACCAGAACCCAGCATGGGCCCCCTCAGTCCCACCCCCAGCCCTTGGCCACTGGTTCTGCAGCCCCACCACTTGTCCCTGAAGATCTTCTCCTCTGACTCCCCGAACTGTGGCAGAGGCTCAGGCCTCTTCCTCTGTCTTCTGACCCCGTGAAATCCTGGCTGTCCCCTCCTTTCTGGCCTCCACCATGTGGCCGGCAGCTGCCAACAGCATCTTTCTAAAGCGGTACCAGGCACGGCAGTGTCCCTGATACCTGCAGGTGACTCAGCTGGGGTCAGCCCCTGGGTGCAGGAGCACATAAGAAATCTCTGAAGGGCCTTTGAAAAACAGCCCTGTTGCGGGAGCCAGGCACTTTGGCTCATGCCTGTAATTACAGAGCTTTGGGAGGTTGAGGCTCCTAGGAGGATCACTTGAGGCCAATAGTTTGAAACCAGCCTGGGCAACACAGTGAGAAATTAAAATTTTAAAAATTAATTTAATTAAATAAATTTTTAAAAAATTAAAAAATTAGCCGGATAAGGTGGCTTATGCCTGTAGCCCCAGCTACTTGGAGACTGATACCTTGAGCCCAGGAGTTTGAGGCTGTAATGAGCTATAATTGCGCTGCTGCACTCTAGTCTGGGCAACAGAGTGAGACCCCCTTTCTAAAAAAAAAAAAAAGAAAAAAAAAGTCCTCTCCAGGAGATTCTGATAAGTCTTCTTTCCTCCAGACAGAGCCCTGATTGTTGACAAAAGTATGCCATGTCTTGGGTGTGGGCCTGAAAAACAGACTTGAGGTCCTCTGGTCAAAGCCTCTTCACTTTTCTAGTCCCATCTGCCCTTCCACTCCCCTACACACGCTGAGTTCCTGCTTCAAAGCCTATTTTCCAAACAGGCTGAACTTTTTCCCTGACCCATACTTTTTTCCCCATGCTATTTGCTTGACTCAGAATTCCAAAACTCACCCAGCCTCCTAGGGTCAACTCAAAAGTCCCCTCCTCCAGGAAGTCTGCCTGGATTGCTCTACTTAGAGGATCTGATTGCCTGTGAGCTCTAAAGCACTGACTGCGGCACAGCCCAATACCACCTACATCTTGCACTGGGTTGGGTATGACCAGGCCACCTCTCCCTGATTGCATGGTTTCAGGCTGGCAACCTGTCCTTTTCTATTCAGGGATCGTGGGTCTGGTATGAATTGCCTGCTCACAATTCACCTGCTGACTCCAGATTTCCAACTGAGGCAGGCCTTGTGACAAAAGGAAAAGGGTGGAAAGAGGAACGAGAGGCTGCAGTGAGGCGAGACACACACATATGCACACATACACACACGCACACACACGTGTGTGGTAGGAACAGGAAGGGGGGCTGAAGGCCCCTCCCCTCTTCAGCTGATGGCTGACAGCTAACCCTGTTGGCCTCAGGGGCTCTTCCCTGGCACTCATTAAAGTCCAGTCCTAAGGCCAGAGGGGAGTGGTGGCCAGTCGTAGGGATTAGCGCTCTCTTTGAGAGAATGTCTGGACAACAGGCGGCTCAGACTGTCTGCCAGGATGAAAGGCCCTCAGCCTTGTCTGGGGGAGGCTTGGAATCTGTCTGTGTCTGGGTTGAAACAAAACATCCTCCTTCCCTCTGTTCAGTTAAATCCTGCCCTTCTGTTCGGCTCAGCACACCGTGGGAAACCATAAGGGTCTAGGTTCTAGGCCCAGCTTGGCCACAAATTGGCGGTGAGACTTGGAACCGGTCCTTTTCTTTCTCTGGGTTCTGCCTGCAGCGTGTGAACTGGCACCAGCCCGTGGCCCATACTTCCAATGATCTCAGAGGGCCCTCCTGCCCCAGGGCTCCAGTTCTGCAGGGTTCTCCAGGTCTGAACTCTTGCGCCCACCTCCTCTGAGGCCTCAGCCCTTGCTGACCCCTCCCTCCCTCCTCTGACCTCCAGCAGCCCTGGCCTGTGAACCAATCCTGGCTCTTGTCCCACTCGCGTCTTGGTTCTGTCACTGGGGTACAGGTGAGGGCTGTTCTCTCCAGCTGTACCAGGAGACCCTCCAGGACAGAGAACAGGCTGCCTCCTCTCCCCAGCTGGGACGAAGGTCCGGGCACTCAGCATCCTTCATGAAGAGGCCGTGATATTAACAGTTTGGCTTTGACTAATTCTCTTAAGACTGGAAGGGCTGTCATAGAGGCTGTAAGTTCCTCATTGCTGGAGGAATTCCAGCAGGACCATTACGCTCTCTTCCCCAGGACAACTGAAACAAGACAAGAACTGCCCAGACAGGCTGGCTGAGTGGTACTCAGCCTGTGGTCCCTGGACCAGGGGCAGTTTCCACACTGATGCCCGTCTGAGATGGGATCGGGAACTTGCACCAGAATGTATATCGACAACATTCCTAATCACTGTGCTTAGTTCAGCGGACACTTTTTCTTTTTTTAAACAAGACTTTCTCAATGAAGGAGTGAGTTGAGTTACATTCTGGTGCAAGCTCTTTTATCTTGTTACAGATAGATAAGGGTTTATGATCAGCTACTTATAGTGGCAGTGAACTAGAAGTTCTAGAAATGAGAAAATGTTGAGATTCTGAAGGGTTTCCTAGATAGTAGAAAGTCAAACTAAACACAGAGTTCAAATGTCCAAAAAGCAGGTAATTAAGAAAAATAGGTGCTTTCAACATAGAGGGATATTAACAAAAGAAGCAGATAACATAATCTTAACTAATTATTTTAGCCCAGGGAGGTATCCCCAAAGAACCTACATTCCAGCAGAATATGAACTGCTAATAAATTAGAAGCAAACACTGTGAGAGGCAGGATCACCCAGGAACAATGGCGAGCCAGCTGTGTTCACCTTCTGGGTTCATGGAAACTGGTCTCCTTCCCCTCTTTCCAGTGCAACATATAACTGAAGCTTCTTTGTCTCCGGGGCTCACTGCCCCTGCTGTGACCAGGCAGAGGCAGCCTGGGCCAGCCAAAGCCACAACTGTCCTCTGTGGACATGGCTCCATAGTCCTGGGCTCTATGCTGCAGGTACATCCACCCAGTAGGACTTCCATAGGTCCCTGTATGAGCACTGGAAGCCTGGGTTCCCAAGAGGAACCTTCTCATTAAGCAGCTCAGATCCAAAAGGTTTGAGTTCCTTTCATTGCTCCTCAGTTTCCTGAGGGGGCAACCCATGCCTTCAGGGCATGAAGATGAAGTACCACAGTGAAAGTGAAGTTCCTTGTATAGTAAGGTACAGTATACAGAAATGCTGGGTCCCCGCTTGCTCCCCTCCCCTCCTGACTCCCTCAGGGCAGGCAAGGCTCACTGATGAAAAGGTCAGGGTCCTGGGAGGCTGGGGCATTTGGCCAGGGTCATCAGCTTGCAGACAGCCTAGCTGGCAGCCGCAGCTAGGCTGGGTTCTGGGTGACTCCCAGGGACTATCCCAACACGCTACACTTCTGCCTCAGCTGCTTACCTGGCCAGACACTTCTCCTCCGCAGCACAGCGCAGGGAGTACAGGTGGGCTCTCTGCACATAAGTGGATGCTTGCACATAGTTGGGGTCTGGGACCAAGTCAGGGAGACCTGGAGTGGGCAGTGGGAGAGAGGGGGGAGGGAGGAAGAGCATGACATTGAGAGCGTCAGGTTGGCCACTGTTAATGCCCAGACACCTCCTCATACCCCAAACATCCTCTCATACCCCAAAACCCTTTGCCATTCTCCTTGGGCGTTGGGTCCTGGGCTCACGTGTGGGGTCAGGGAAGTCAGGCAGCAAGAGCTTGCATCTCGAGCTCTGTGGTGTGGGAGCTGCTAAGACTTCCTGGAAAAGCTTGGACATGAACAAGATCTGGGAGATGGGGCAGGATTTAGAGAACCAGAGAGCAGGAAAGGGTGTCCTCGGCAGGGGGAACAGCATGAACGAAGACCTGGAGGCAGGAATGAGTGAACCATGTAACTTCCTGACAGAAGCCCTCCCTCGAGTTCTTACTCCCCAGGCCTCTGGACAGCAGCCCCCAGACACCCTCCGTTCCTCTCATCCCTGCAGTCAGCATTCTTTGTGAACCACCAAGAGAGTCCTGGGCTTCTGGCCTGGAGTGTGTCCCTGAAGGTTCATGGACAGAGCCAGGTGGATGCAGGCTAGCAGGAGTCGGGGTGGGCAGGAAGGGATGGGCTAGAAGGAAAACATTTCCCCAGAGCAGGCTGCTGACAGGGCAGGATTCGCAGCCTGGGCACCCAGCCCGACCTTCTCAGAATTCCTTTCTGCCTGGCACAGCCACTCCTCCCCGTACCCCCGCCCCCAATCACCTGCCACCACTTCCTGCCATCAGCCCCCTAGACCTGACCACATCCTCCTCTGTCTGCAACCTCTGGCCACCAATCTGAGGGAGACCCTGGCTCCCTACCCTGCAAGGCCTGGGGTCAAGCACCCAGGGGAAGTCTGGAAGCTGCCCCCGTCCTTGTGGTCCCTTGTTCCCCAGGATGTGCCAGAGCCTGTGGCCTGTCCATCCTGTTCCTGCCCCTCCACCTTCCTCCCTGGGCATGCATTAGTCTGAGCAGGAGTTACTAGGAATAAGCAGAAACCACACTTAGGTGTCCAGACTCCATCCCGCATTGGAATGAAGAAGGAATACCTTAACGTTGGAGTGACGGGATGTGGGCTGGGGTGGGTGCGGGCAGGGGTGGGTGTGGGCAGGGGGGACTCCAGGGCCCTGGGCTCTATCCCAGCCCAGTCACTGACTTAAAGGGGAGTGGTCCTGGGGCCTCTAATTCCCTCTCCTCTCTGGCCTCAGGGATTTTGTCAGGTAAGTGATAAGATGAGGCTATAAGCTCCTCTTACTTTCTTTGAAGTACTCTGCTCTTGAGGGATTCGGGAAGGGTGACAGCAGGCAAGGTGGGAAGACTTAAGTCCCATGGAGGGGTTTCCCACCCCTTTCCTGCTGCCAAGACCCTCTCATCAGCTTTTAGGTCTGGAAGATGAGGCCAAAGAGGGGAAGGCTGGCTTCTAAGCCATTGGCAGAAGTGTCTGCCTGCATGTTCCCCTTCCCACACCACCCCGAGTTCCCAGACCCTAGCGTTGCTCTCCCTGGGACCTGGACCTCATGGGGGAGCCTGGTCCAGGCAGCCAGGGTGATCTCACCTATTTGGAATGAAGAGGAAGCTTGGAGTGCAAGGGTGGGTGAGGATGAGGTGGCTCCTGGCTGGTGGGGGACTTCTTGGCCAGCCTAGGCCCTGTTACTTGAGCCCCTAGGAATGTTTGCAGTCATTTCCCAAGGGACCCATAGGCCCTCAAGCCAGCTGGGAGCTGGTTCTCACTCTCTGGACCCTGGAAGCCTCTGGGGGAGGGGTGAGGACTGGGGATGGGCCCCGTCCCCATCAGCCAGTGCCTTTCCCTCAGCTGTGTATAGGGTGGGGTAGCTGGGCCTTTAAGACTCAGGAGACCCAGCATTTGACATCAGACAGCTTGCTGCCCCCACCCCAGGCCCAGTTTCAAGAAATACTGCACAGATGGCTCCACAAAGCTTTTCTGGCCTGACCCTTCCTCTCTAGGCTATTTCATGAGCTGGCTACGCAACCCCGGGAAGTTGGAGGAGTGGGGAGGAAGAGGCCAGGTGGGGCCAGTGAGGGCCAGTGCTGTTCCTGGCCTCTCCCAGCCCTGACTATGTACACACACTGAGCCCTGTGCCTGATCACAGTCTGCGCCCTGACCTTGGTCACAGACTGACCTCTGATCCTGGTCACATTAAGCCCTGACCTTGGTCACACACTGAACCCTGGCCCTGGGCACACCCTGAGCCTTGATCACACACCAAGCCCTGTTCCTGATCACAGTCTGAGCCCCGATGCTGGTCACACACTGAACCCTGATCCTGGTCACAGACTGGGCCCCGATCCTGGTCACAGACCAAGGTCTGATGCCTATCAGCAATTCTGAATCTCAGGCTCATTTCTGTTTTTCCCCTGATGATGGGCGAAAGCTCTTCAGCTAAAGAAAAAAAAAAAAAAAAAAAAA